CACATACTAACACCAATCTCAACAATAATAAGTGCACTTCATACACTACTCACAACCACAACTTATCAGTAGACAAGAAATGTCAACTAGCCTCGTTTACACCAAACCCATCGTTGAACACACTCAATGAAACGTGAGATCGAGCAAGCGTGCGATCGAGCCAGTGAGTGAGTGAGTGAGTGAGTGAGTGAGTGAGTGAGTGAGTGAGTGAGTGAGTGAGTGAGTGAGTGAGTGAGTGAGTGAGTGAGTGAGTGAGTGAGTGAGTGAGTGAGTGATTAAGTAAGTAAGTGAGTAAGTGACAGTTGACTTCATCTGTGTGTTGAGGATGGCTAAGATTTGATTGCACCCAACACATCTGACCACCATACTACTGTGCAATTGATATTAGCCCATGTGTAGGGCTGCCAAAGAAAACTTCGATTCTTGGTCGACGGTTCTTACCATGCAACAAATCACAAGAGTAAAACCGTGACGGTTAATCCGAACCGCTCACAGTCTACCAACCTTACTATCAAACAACACCTCACTCCCATTCATCCATTTGCAAATTAATCATCTCTGTCAACACAATCATCACTCGACAACAGCAAACACAACAGTAATAGCTCCTCACCACTACATTCAACATTACTACATGCATACACGCCTGCACACAACCACTGGGAAACCATAATACACCACATACTAACACCAATCTCAACAATAATAAGTGCACTTCATACACTACTCACAACCACAACTTATCAGTAGACAAGAAATGTCAACTAGCCTCGTTTACACCAAACCCATCGTTGAACACACTCAATGAAACGTGAGATCGAGCAAGCGTGCGATCGAGCCAGTGAGTGAGTGAGTGAGTGAGTGAGTGAGTGAGTGAGTGAGTGAGTGAGTGAGTGAGTGAGTGAGTGATTAAGTAAGTAAGTGAGTAAGTGACAGTTGACTTCATCTGTGTGTTGAGGATGGCTAAGATTTGATTGCACCCAACACATCTGACCACCATACTACTGTGCAATTGATATTAGCCCATGTGTAGGGCTGCCAAAGAAAACTTCGATTCTTGGTCGACGGTTCTTACCATGCAACAAATCACAAGAGTAAAACCGTGACGGTTAATCCGAACCGCTCACAGTCTACCAACCCTACTATCAAACAACACCTCACTCCCATTCATCCGTTTGCAAATTAATCATCTCTGTCAACACAATCATCACTCGACAACAGCAAACACAACAGTAATAGCTCCTCACCACTACATTCAACATTACTACATGCATACACGCCTGCACACAACCACTGGGAAACCATAATACACCACATACTAACACCAATCTCAACAATAATAAGTGCACTTCATACACTACTCACAACCACAACTTATCAGTAGACAAGAAATGTCAACTAGCCTCGTTTACACCAAACCCATCGTTGAACACACTCAATGAAACGTGAGATCGAGCAAGCGTGCGATCGAGCCAGTGAGTGAGTGAGTGAGTGAGTGAGTGAGTGAGTGAGTGAGTGAGTGAGTGAGTGAGTGAGTGAGTGAGTGAGTGAGTGAGTGAGTGAGTGAGTGAGTGAGTGATTAAGTAAGTAAGTGAGTAAGTGACAGTTGACTTCATCTGTGTGTTGAGGATGGCTAAGATTTGATTGCACCCAACACATCTGACCACCATACTACTGTGCAATTGATATTAGCCCATGTGTAGGGCTGCCAAAGAAAACTTCGATTCTTGGTCGACGGTTCTTACCATGCAACAAATCACAAGAGTAAAACCGTGACGGTTAATCCGAACCGCTCACAGTCTACCAACCTTACTATCAAACAACACCTCACTCCCATTCATCCATTTGCAAATTAATCATCTCTGTCAACACAATCATCACTCGACAACAGCAAACACAACAGTAATAGCTCCTCACCACTACATTCAACATTACTACATGCATACACGCCTGCACACAACCACTGGGAAACCATAATACACCACATACTAACACCAATCTCAACAATAATAAGTGCACTTCATACACTACTCACAACCACAACTTATCAGTAGACAAGAAATGTCAACTAGCCTCGTTTACACCAAACCCATCGTTGAACACACTCAATGAAACGTGAGATCGAGCAAGCGTGCGATCGAGCCAGTGAGTGAGTGAGTGAGTGAGTGAGTGAGTGAGTGAGTGAGTGAGTGAGTGAGTGATTAAGTAAGTAAGTGAGTAAGTGACAGTTGACTTCATCTGTGTGTTGAGGATGGCTAAGATTTGATTGCACCCAACACATCTGACCACCATACTACTGTGCAATTGATATTAGCCCATGTGTAGGGCTGCCAAAGAAAACTTCGATTCTTGGTCGACGGTTCTTACCATGCAACAAATCACAAGAGTAAAACCGTGACGGTTAATCCGAACCGCTCACAGTCTACCAACCCTACTATCAAACAACACCTCACTCCCATTCATCCATTTGCAAATTAATCATCTCTGTCAACACAATCATCACTCGACAACAGCAAACACAACAGTAATAGCTCCTCACCACTACATTCAACATTACTACATGCATACACGCCTGCACACAACCACTGGGAAACCATAATACACCACATACTAACACCAATCTCAACAATAATAAGTGCACTTCATACACTACTCACAACCACAACTTATCAGTAGACAAGAAATGTCAACTAGCCTCGTTTACACCAAACCCATCGTTGAACACACTCAATGAAACGTGAGATCGAGCAAGCGTGCGATCGAGCCAGTGAGTGAGTGAGTGAGTGAGTGAGTGAGTGAGTGAGTGAGTGAGTGAGTGAGTGAGTGAGTGAGTGAGTGAGTGATTAAGTAAGTAAGTGAGTAAGTGACAGTTGACTTCATCTGTGTGTTGAGGATGGCTAAGATTTGATTGCACCCAACACATCTGACCACCATACTACTGTGCAATTGATATTAGCCCATGTGTAGGGCTGCCAAAGAAAACTTCGATTCTTGGTCGACGGTTCTTACCATGCAACAAATCACAAGAGTAAAACCGTGACGGTTAATCCGAACCGCTCACAGTCTACCAACCTTACTATCAAACAACACCTCACTCCCATTCATCCATTTGCAAATTAATCATCTCTGTCAACACAATCATCACTCGACAACAGCAAACACAACAGTAATAGCTCCTCACCACTACATTCAACATTACTACATGCATACACGCCTGCACACAACCACTGGGAAACCATAATACACCACATACTAACACCAATCTCAACAATAATAAGTGCACTTCATACACTACTCACAACCACAACTTATCAGTAGACAAGAAATGTCAACTAGCCTCGTTTACACCAAACCCATCGTTGAACACACTCAATGAAACGTGAGATCGAGCAAGCGTGCGATCGAGCCAGTGAGTGAGTGAGTGAGTGAGTGAGTGAGTGAGTGAGTGAGTGAGTGAGTGAGTGAGTGAGTGAGTGAGTGAGTGAGTGAGTGAGTGAGTGAGTGAGTGATTAAGTAAGTAAGTGAGTAAGTGACAGTTGACTTCATCTGTGTGTTGAGGATGGCTAAGATTTGATTGCACCCAACACATCTGACCACCATACTACTGTGCAATTGATATTAGCCCATGTGTAGGGCTGCCAAAGAAAACTTCGATTCTTGGTCGACGGTTCTTACCATGCAACAAATCACAAGAGTAAAACCGTGACGGTTAATCCGAACCGCTCACAGTCTACCAACCCTACTATCAAACAACACCTCACTCCCATTCATCCATTTGCAAATTAATCATCTCTGTCAACACAATCATCACTCGACAACAGCAAACACAACAGTAATAGCTCCTCACCACTACATTCAACATTACTACATGCATACACGCCTGCACACAACCACTGGGAAACCATAATACACCACATACTAACACCAATCTCAACAATAATAAGTGCACTTCATACACTACTCACAACCACAACTTATCAGTAGACAAGAAATGTCAACTAGCCTCGTTTACACCAAACCCATCGTTGAACACACTCAATGAAACGTGAGATCGAGCAAGCGTGCGATCGAGCCAGTGAGTGAGTGAGTGAGTGAGTGAGTGAGTGAGTGAGTGAGTGAGTGAGTGAGTGAGTGAGTGAGTGAGTAAGTGACAGTTGACTTCATCTGTGTGTTGAGGATGGCTAAGATTTGATTGCACCCAACACATCCGACCACCATACTACTGTGCAATTGATATTAGCCCATGTGTAGGGCTGCCAAAGAAAACTTCGATTCTTGGTCGACGGTTCTTACCATGCAGCAAATCACAAGAATAAAAGCTTGACTGTTATTTCGAACAACTTGCAGACCATCGTGTTTGAATACCATGAATATATCTGTTTGTCATCATTTGTTTTTTTTTCTGGAAATTCTATATGAGCGCACATTTATGATTTTACGTAGTGTTTCTTTTTGAATGGACTTTCTTAATTGCTGTGTGCTTTTATGATTGACTTCTGTGGTGAATATATGTTACTACTGTTTCATAAATATCGCACTTGTCAGTGAAGTTTATGTTTTACTAATATCGTGCATGTAGAAAAACTGCCTCTGCATATTGTAGTTGCTACTGACAATTCCCTGCTATCATATATCTTTACTATAATATCAACACATATAAACCGTTTTTGACATAATATTACTGCTACATGGATTTGTGGAATCATTTTGGACTTATTGCTTTAGAAGTAACAAATTGCACACTTGTTTATCATTGTTAAGTTACTTTTGTATTAATTTTTACGTGTTTTTCATAAACTTGGTTACAAATTTGTAGGACACCGACACTATCTGAATAGCGCTGGAAGCCAGACAAATAGACTAAACATAACATAGCTACGGTAAATTTAGTTATAAACTGAAGATGTCTATCGACATTCAATTGAAAAAGTAAAAGTAGACAGATATAAAGATACGATACCCGAAAAATCAACTTAAAGCACAACACTTTTAAAGAAATTGAGACAGAAAGGCTTGTATTTATAGTAAGACAAATACATTTTCTTAAAATAATATAAATGATTATTAGCTCAGTCTGAAAGAAACTGAATGCTAAATCAAATATCAGCAACAAACAAAAATATTTTTATGTCCGTAATAAAGAGAAATAACTAAAACTACAATAACAATCTCGCTTCTAAACAAATTACGCTTTCGTGTTACCGCATCTAATTATTCAGCATCGAAAATAGTAAATACGAAAGGGTAGTTGGAAAGGTAATATAGACAACAAACAGTACATAACATCAATAGCAAATAACTAATGCATAATTAACATGAAAGTGAAAATTAAAACAGAACAAAGGAATGAACGAGGTACATAGTAGGATAGAAGGAAGAAAAATATTAACGGTTTGATGAACGTTATGAAGTGTTTTGGTAGTATAACTGCCGAAGTTGTTTGGCTTCTGCACTCATTACATCGTGTGATCGATAGACGCGATCCCTCACTTTATCATGACTTTGTAACTACAATGAGAACATACATAAAATGAAATATACTTCTTAAAAATTTATGTGAATTACAAGATTTACATTTATGCATTAGTTTTTCTCGATATACTAAAGCAATCTGAGAGTGCTACAGATCACATATTGCAATATTCAGAGAGATGGTGTAGTACGCTGTTAGAACCCGACCGTTGTTGCTACCTTGACGTGGTGGTCGGGCTTGCCTATCGTGATGAAGCAACCGAGCTATACTGACTGGAACAACTGTTCCTCAAGGTCCTACCATGTCAGACAGGTCGGTTGAAGAGCGGTAAGACTAAAAGCAACAAACCCAAGGTCCGAAGGCGAAGTCGTACTGTTGACTGTACAGAGGTGTGACAGCAGTAAGGTGTTTCCTTCAGACAACCAGCATGACAGCGATGCTGCCTTCCCACCTTGCCTTATCCCACGGATATCCGTCTCTGGCGGTAAGGTCCCAAAAAGTACGAAGCTAACACAAAAATTACCCATAAAAAGGTCGTGTGTGACCGACCTCAAGCAGTTGTCCCTTGGGCAGTGCGGTCACGCTCTCAGGTCACTAGGACCACCTCTAATCCAATTTCCTTTTCAGGTACCTCCAGAACAACCCTTCCACGGTGTGGGCAAACGGGAAGTGATAACCGCCCTCATACCTCTAACAGCAGTCAAGACTGACGCTGTTAGAAGAGTATTGGATAAACAGTAAATAGAACTCGATACAGTGGATAATTGATCTTAAAAGCTATTACTTTCCCTGATATTCAAGAAAACCAATGCGTCAAAACTGGAATGAAATAGCTCCGTAAATAATGGTAACACTAATGACCTTGGTACAACAAAATTTGCGAATTCGAAGTAACGACAATAAATAAGATAACAGTCATTGTGAAAATACGAATTAGAAGTGTTTTCACAGTAATCCACACCAGGTAGGACTATCTTTTAATGACAAAAAACTAGATTATATGATCGTTCCTTTAGCAGTTTTACTTCATTACAATTATAGTGTTTAGGGCTAGATAATAGTTAGACATTTGTTACTTTTTTTGCCCTAGTAAATACAGATTAACAACTAATTTAGATCCTTAAAGTTTAGCTGTACACGCAATACCACTAGTGCTTACTCAGTAGTCTGAGCATATGCAAATTTTGATTATTCACCATTTCCAGTGTAAAAGCTGCATTAGCACAAAACCCATATTGATCAGTAAACTTAAATCTCCATAGACATCCGTATACCATAGATAGTATATGTAGCGAATGTCAAAAGTACTTATTCTAATCAGATTTAGGCTATTATGGTAACAAAATTTTCAAGGTTGATGTGACTCTTGAATTAAATTTAGTGGCTTAAATGTTCTACAATCAAACTAGACGCTTTTTTAGCAAAAAGCACAACCAGTGAATAGAGGACAGAATCAGATGTAAGTTGAGATGTCTTTGTTTACATTCTGGTAAGGATAATGTAGTCACAATTTACGCTAGACTGGCCACAAAATCAGGAATATGTGAACAACTTCTACTTTATTGACACAAAGATAGACTATGATAGAATGATGTGAAATTTACAAAACTGGTATTTGTGGGAGTCTATTTGAGAATATAAAGCATTATAATTAAATAAATAAAATGTTAAGTCCGAAAAATAATAAACTTAGTATCCATTTGGTATGATAACTTAGAGGAAATGATTATCATTAACTGAAAGAGAACACTGAACAGTAGAAAGTACTTACTGCTTTATAAATATCATCGTTCTCTGGGAAATCATTTGGTTTTCTTGGCAATACATGGACGTGAACGTGCTGATAATAATAGTGATAATAACAATCGTTATAATGAAATAGAAAACCATCAAATATGTTAATCATAATGGATGGATCAAAAACAAACTAGAAATACGTTTGTGTACTATTTATACAAAATTTGTCAATATTAGAATAAATAGTTCGACAAATATCGGACGCCAAGTACAGAGAAGACATTATATATTTGAATTAATCTAGGGCAATTGAAATTTAAGTAATTCCAACGTTTCGTTCAGCAAACTTGTCTGCACTTCTTCAGGGTAATAATCAAAATTACCAAAGAAATATATACTATTTAACAATCAAATCAAGTTTCTACTGTGCTTATCTAATCATATTCAGATGTAAGTAGGATAACATGAGCTAGCTATATGAGAATCATGTGAATAGTTTACAATGTGGAAATAAATGAATGATTGTGTATAGGCATATTGATACTAGGTATTGATTTGTTTTTACATGAAGTAAAAATAATAGTGCTAGTTGAAATTGTTTTTGAACCGTCTGTGAGTATGTAAAATGAGAATCATCACGTATATAATTGTAATGCTAAAATATTCCAATTAATTCTTGTCAGAATAACGATGTATATGAATAGAGATAGAGTTCAGTTACTTGTTAATGAACATTTGCCATGTAGTAGATAGTTGAATACCATCTTCTCTGTTCATATTAGCTCATATATACAGCACTTCCGTTGCCAATCTTTCTTTATATGTAATAAAACCTTTCTGAAGTATTTTGATACCTTCGAAAGTGATCTATTGCCCAGTTCCTAATGTATGTAACGCTATTACCGATCTATTCTCAAGTTACTTCAGATTAACAGAGGATTTGAAAACATTTTTCATTGTTTGTGTTTCTTCAACCTTACATCTGAATATGACTGGATAAACACAGTAAAGATTTGATTTGATTGTTAAACATCATATATTTTTTGACAATTGTGATTAACACCCTGAAAAGGTTCAGACACGTTTGCGGAACGAAATGTTTTAATCATTCGAATTTCAATCGCTGAGATTGTTTCTCTTATGTGAGGTCCACAAATTATATTGAATTCAAAAGGGTTTATCATCATGACTTCAACAGTTAGAAGAAGAGTACATTTTTAAATTATTGAGCTACACTTTACTCAAACATATGCTGTGTTCATGAAACAGGCATTACAACAAAAGACTGAATTATTACACCAGTTAAATGAGATTAAAGAGTTACAAGCACGGAAACTATTCGCGTCACATGGAACAGTCTAGAAAGATTAGTAGTGATAAATTCGCTTGTTTCTAACTTTCTAGCCACTTCCTATAGCTTCAGACTACTCCTACACTTCAACGTGAATAGGTAAACAGAGCGAACAGTAAGACGTTTACCCAAAGGTTAGTCATATACAAAAAACTGTGTATACTTATCGTCCCGCGTGACCGCAGGCTTCAAGAACATCCTGGAAACATGTCAAAAATATGATAACAACATAGGCAATGATCCAATCAAAGCGCGATACATCATAATCCCTCATTTCTAGATGCTCCTGAGAAACTTCTATTAAATGCTGAATCAAAAGTTTCCAGGGCTTCTAGAAACTTTGACGAAGGACATTATAGGAATTCCCAACAAATAGAAACTTAAAAACTAGATCGACCAAAGAGAAAATGTCACACATTCTAAGTTGTGATTTATCTTAAAATTATACCTTTCAAAGCGTAAGTACATTAGCAAATGTTTAAGGATCAGTCAGTCAGTCAGCAACAACGCAGAACTTTGAACGTACGTACATCAGTTCAAGTTGCCATACCACATTACCACACAGATACAATTGTCGATTCAAATCCCGTAGTGGTAGAGATAGAAAAGTATAAGCAGTAATCGGAAACATTGGGGTTTGAAGATGTTATTCAAGGAATATAATCCAGTGAAATAAATTTGGGAAGAGGAAAACGAAAGAAACATGAAGAATTCAGAAGATTAGAATTTAGGAGAACACAAAGAGTGTATGCACCTGCGCCATTCCAAACGATTTTGAGCCATATCATCCAGGGTCTCTAATCATCAGTTGCTATCGTCTCGTAGACCCCAACCAGGTAGTCTAGATTTACCAACATGGCTCAGTCCACTTGTCAGTGAATTCATGTATTTTTGCCATGTTTTGGTCCGATCACCTCTAGTTTTCTTCCAACTTACTCCTACGCCATAAAACATCGCTCGTCGGGGCAGTCGGTGGTTGGGCATATGTATCACATGTCACAGCCATCTCAACTGATGAAGTTTCACTACTTCATCAATTGATTTGCCATCCCCACCTAGTACTCGTTTCCTAACAACTGGAGGACTTACATCAACTAATCAATCAGGTTGACTGGAGATCGTGGGAAACCGAAGTGTGGCTGAAGGCCAGTTCAGCTGATCCATAGTGTTTTGCCCATCGATCAAATCTACTGGATTGAGAATGAATAATATGTCCATCTTTTCCGGTGATAGATTCGCTAACAGTTGGATTCGCTAACCACCAATGTTCACGATCATTGCGTAGGCTTCTTATCAGTCTGCGCTTAAGTTAATTCCGCTCTTCATCATGTTCAGAGCCAGATAGGATGAGCTTCCGAACATCTATCAGTGTGGTAGATGTTGCTGAGATCCAGTATTTCTGGTAGAGTGAGAGCTTATGTCGAACTGTCATCAGATTTGATTACCTCAAGTGGTGTTCGTCAGGGCTGTCCACTCTCTCCATTCTTGTTCAACTTTGTCATTGACGTAATTTTAGAGATAACAATCTCCTCATCTAAATTTACAGGGGTTGAACTTCTACCGGGAGGTTCACTTGTTGACTTAGAATATGCTGATGACATAGTTTTATTTGGTGAAGACGCTGACAAAATGCAGAGTCTTCTGACAACTCTAAGCAACAATGCAAGCATGTTCGGGATGCGATTCTCTCCCTCGAAATGCAAAATGTTGCTTCAGGATTGGGTTACATCGACACCCGAACTAGTGATAGGGAGTGAAGTAGTTGAGTGTGTCGACCGCTTCACTTATCTTGGAAGTCTCATCAGCCCTTGTGGTCTGGTGTGTGACGAAATCTCAGCACGGATACAGAAGGCTCGACTAGCTTTTGCCAACTTGCGTCATTTATGGCGTAGGCAAGATATCCGTCTATCAACCAAAGGACTGCTTTACTGCGCAGCAGTTCGTCCCATCCTACTTTATGGCAGTGAAACGTGGCCGGTAAGAGTAGAGGATATTCGTAGGTTACTAGTATTCGATCATAGGTGTCTTCGAAATATTGCTCGTATATCGTGGGACCACCGAGTAAGTAATGCAGTTGTTAGGAAACAGGTACTAGGTGGGGATGGCAAATCAATTGATGAAGTAGTGAAACTTCATCAGTTGAGATGGCTGGGACACGTGTTACGTATGCCCAACGACCGACTACCTCGACGTGCTATGTTCAGTGGTATAGGAGTAGGTTGGAAGAAAGCTAGGGGCGGCCAAACCAAAACATGGCACAAGTCCATGAAGTCACTGACAAGTGAACTGAGTCATGCTGGTAGGTGTAGACTACCTGGTTGGGGACCACGAGATGATAGCAACCGATGGTTAGAGACCCTGAATGACATTGCTCGGAATCGTTTGGAATGGCACAGGTGCATACACTCTTTGTGTTCTCCTAAATTCTAATCTTCTGAATTCTTCATGTCCCTTTTTTCCACTTTCCAAATTTATTTCACTGGATTATACTCTCTAAATAACATCTCCAAACCCTAATCTTCCCGATTACTGCTTATACTCTTATTACTTCTACCACTACGAAATTTGAATCGACAACTGCATCTCTGTGCTAATGTGGTGTGGCAACTCGAACTGATGTACGTACGTACGAAGTTCTACGTTGTTTCTGACTGACTGACTGACCATCGGCGGCTGATAGCAATGTGATCTAGTTAGGTTCGACTTTGGGACGAATTAGGAGGTCGCCATGTTAAAAGATGTTTTCCTTATGCTTAAAGTTAGTATTTGCAAGGAACAGGCGGTTATCTGAGCATATCTGCAACAGATGATCGCCATCATCTGTTCTTTGATCCACGACAACATAAAATCCACCCAGGTGTCTTTCCTTTTCGCTTAGTTTACCTACTTAAGCATTAAAGTCACCAGCCGCTACTGCTACATCAGAGCACCTAACTTCTTGGAGGTCAGAAAGCTTTCTGTAAAACTCATCTTTTACATCATCTGAGCTGCAGTCAGTGGGAGAGTGGGCAGAGACGACGAAGAAGTAACAACGTGTGTCCCTATCTTCCTGAGTCCTTACTGTTCCGTTTAGTCAGACAGCGCACAAACGACTGTCTATTGGGATCAAGTCTAGGAGAGCTAGTTCTGCCCTGGAAATCATTGCCACACCTACACCGACGAGGCCACGGGAAGCAGCATCAGGGCTTCCAGATACACGAAGCGTAAATCGAGTCGGTTCTTTATTTTGGCATGGTGAGGTTAAATGAATGACGCTACTCGGATCTTGTATGCGCGTTTCGGAGACGCAGCACACATCGATGGTGCGAGATTCAAAAGTCCTAGCTAAGGAAGCCTGCTGCCCTATTTGGCAGTGTTCGGATGTTAAAAGCTCCTACATGTAGTTAAGAGTGTGGTTTCGGGAGACCAGGAATAACGTTTCGCATACTCAAATCGTTTGCATTAGCGGCGCGAGGCGACAAAGGGACTTGAGAAAGGTAGGAAGAATTTGATTATGACAAACTTTGTCTCGTGCGTTGTTACGGGTATAAGGTCCGATGTCACTTCCCGGCTGCCCACACCGAGGAAGGGTATTTCTTGAAGCTGAAAAAGGAGTTGGATTAGTGTTAGTCTTAACGACCTGAGAGCGCGACCGCAGAGACGGGTCACTCACAGCTTCTTTGTGGGAAGTTTTTAACGTGTTAGCTCCGTTCATCAAAAGGCCTTACCGCCGGAGACGGCAATCCGTGAGATAAGGTGAGGTGTGACAATTTTAGGGTCGACCTTTTCCAATCCCTTCCTTCCTTCTGAGAAGGCAGTATCGCTGCAGATGCTGGTTTTCTGAGGTAAACACCTGAATGCTCTCACACCCGTCTACAGTCAGCAGTACGACTTCGCCCTCAGACCTTGAGTTGCTGCTTTCAATCTTACCGTTCTCCAATCGACCTGCATGGCATGGTAGAACGTACAGGAACATATGTTCCAGCAAGTATAGCTCAGTTGGGTCATCACGATAGGCAAGCCCGACCACCACGTCAAGGTAGGCGCTGCGGTCGGGAATGTTTAAGGATAAATACGTCTAGACATAGATTGGAGTAACTATTGACCTTTTCTAAATACCTTAGGAAAAGGTTAATTGGCCGGAGTTATTCTAAGTGAATTCGATATTTTCATTCTAAACATTGAAAACCTAAATATTTAAACAACTTTTGTCAATCGATTGATATCTCATTTCTGTTGACTATTAGAAATTCAATTGACTAACGATTAAAAAATGCTGATTACAGTTAGAATAAAGGCCAAAATAGTTATTACAGAAAACTAGTTACAGTAATTTCTGATAAATTACAGGGTACAACCATATGATCATAATTTACATCTGAATAAATGAGTAATTAAGAAAGCATTATGCAAATGAACCAAATTCATTTGCTACAATCACAAGTTGACTGATACTTGAGGTAGGCTAAAGTACAATAAAATACTAATTTAAGATTGGTCAAATATATGCACAATATTTGTTAATCTGACAGTTTACTTGAATGGGTTTGGTAGAGATTAGATTAGTTTATAAGTTGTATATATCCCGGTTGTCTTATTCAAGGTAGCACTAGAAACAAAGGGGCTTTATGAAATAAATAGACAGTCGGTCGGTAATAATCATGAGTTGTTGGGTATCGTTGATGAAGCAAACCCTTGTTTTAGGCGTTTTAAGGATGATCATACGAAAACTATCCAGCCCTTATTGATTTTTGAGGTTCATCTTTTCTTAACATTAACTTTGTCTCCAGCTTACGAAAGGAAAATAATACATATTTTTAACGTGAGTCTACACTTTTACACGCAGATGACATGAAAAGGTAACATAACCTAACAAATGTAATGGAATGTAGCTGCTCTTATATATCCGAAATGCAGTTATCCTATTGGTATACGATAAACTACGCAAGTCAGTTCAATATCATCAACAGAATCGCCATATGTGAAAGACAGTGAGTTTCGTCCAGCAAATAACCAAACTTGAATGACATTTTACAGCAAACAGCATACAGGCTGTGATACACACGATCAATGAGATTATATACAATGAAGCACAGCTATGGTGACTAATCAGGAATATTTATACCTAATTATTAGCTTACTAACAAGTTCACCAATCCATCAAATATTGATAACCTAGTTAAATTTTCTAGTGAGATATGAATGTTATACAATGGAACATTGAGACTACGATTGACCAGCAAGTTAAATATCATATCAGTAGAAATAAAATTAGGCTACTAAACAATACTACTTAATTGTTTAATGCTGAACACAGAATAAAATGAAAAATTTAGCAGTTCAAAACGGTTCTTTTTACTATTACTACGACTACCACTAATGATAATACTTGGATGTCCAAACTGAAAGACAGGATTTCCGTTAGTTGGAACACAAGTATGTGCTTCAATCGCTAAACTATTAAGGCATAATCATTTTACAAAGATAATCTGAAAGTATAACATTTTTTCAGTAAAAAACTTACTGACACACTTTGACCAGCATCTTCTCCATCTTGCATAGATATGGTTAAGCTTGTAGCTGAAAAATATCCAGCTAGTCGTTCAGCAATCTGTCTGACAGTCATATAAAGATCAGCAACTTGTGCCAAATTTAGATGACAAAATCTTTGCACACTAGCAATCGGACAAACAAGTATGTCTATATTGAAACTTATTCGTCAAAAGAAAATAAGCATAATCTGATTTGTGATATGTGTTTAGTAACAATTACTCTAGTAAAAGTAAAATATGAGAATGATACCATCAGAATCGAGAAAAGGAGCTAGGTTTTTGCGCAAAATACAAAACTGGCCTAAAATGAGTGATAATAATCTTTATATAGTGTTCAAAACGCTTGAAACAAAAAACTTCCTGTCATTGTGGAGTAAAACTGGTGCTAAATGTATCAAGCACTCAATTTTTCTTATGTAGATTGCACATTACAGGGGAAAGAACAATAATTTCTAGTCTTGAAATAAACCTTAATCCAGTGGTATTATAATTTAAGGACGAATAGATGAGACTCAGGATACAATATATTGGATTCTTGCGACAAATCCATCCACCCACATAGTTACAAAACATCTCTATAGTTGAAGCCAGTTCGTAAAGAGCACCTTAACCATTACCAAAAGCAATCTGAAGACCGTCAAAAGTCTATTTGCCTCCATTTAGGGATATGAGAAGACGAGTAAACCATATCCATTTGAACGAACGTGGGTCTCCGCTTTTCTAGTTCATAGCCAAAGTAACATATAAAGTGCTTTGACAAATTAACTAATTATGTAAACTTTTTTACACTCGATGTTATAACAACAAATACTAAAAAGTTGGAACCAGTTTTCGAATTATTGCCAATTATAATTGGTAGGTGTATGGAACTGGATAACATTCATTGTGATCTTTTCCTTTTTTGTTTTGATAACCCTGGATCCACGAGATTCTTATCACATAAGTAATATTCGTGCTTCTTTGGACAGCATCAGTGTACTTCCGTATGTACGAAGTATTTCATTCTTCACAACCAGTGTACAAAAGAATCTACCACGAAACTAATCTTTCCTGTCCAACTTTCGTACAATCAGTTTCACTTATTTCGAGAACCACAAAGTTAATTTACCTCATTTTCGTAGCTGTTTGATTGATCGATCTCATACATTGTACGGACATTCCATGTACCTATATTAATTATTGCTATTGTTGTTAGAAGGGTATAAATGGTTTAAATCTTCTTCTCTTGGTGAGTGTTTTTTCGCATGCTTGCTGACTACATGCCCAACTATCCTCATTTCCCCGGACTTGGGAACTGCAATAACCCTAGAAAAGTTACAGGAGGAGTTAATTTGGTCATTAAATACTGCTAATTTAAGAGTCTCCTCTACTTTAGGTGGCAACATTTTACAGCCATAAAGTGAAACAGGGACAACTTGTGAAGCATCCCCGACTATTAGTATGTAGACGAATATTATGCCGATGCTACATGTGACACGGTTGGAGAAAGCCAACCAAGCTTTCTGATAAAGCTTACAAGATGAGTGAAGTGGCCGACGCACACAAATTCTTCATTCACTATAATCGATCTATAGGTTGAAGCAGACCAGGTTGTGTTTGAAAGAAGAGAAATGAATCCCCAGAAAGCTTGCATTGATACTCAACACGATCAGAAGATTTTGTCCTTTGACAGCGTCTTCAATAAACAGGACTGTGTCATTTACGTATTCTAATTTAACAAGTTAGTTTCGTAATAGATCGATTCCTAATAAGTCGGATGATAAAATCGCTGTTTCTAAAAACGTGTCTGTGATAAAATTGTGTATAAACGGTGGCAGCGGACAGTCCTGATGCCTTTCAAAGAAAGACACTGTTATAGAACATGTTGATCAACTCAAACACATGTGTCAAACCCTTTACAGCTGATGTTTCACCTAGACAGTTGAACTCTATCTATGTCAAGAAATATAACTAGTTGGCAGCTGGTAGATATTTCTGTGTCCCAGAACGTGACGAAGGGCAAAAATTTAGTCTACACATTCCCATTCAAGTCTCAAACCATCCTGGTTCGTTCTTCATGAGCTCCAGTTAAGTATTGGATGGTCACTGAGACTAATGTTTTAGATAATATATTAGTCAAACTGATTTTCCTGTGGTTAACACAACAGGTCTTCTGATATTTCCTATAAACTAGAATGATCAACGATTGTGTCCAGTCAGATAAGATTACAGCGAAACTATAAGTTATGGAGGAACCAATCATATTCAAGACAGATCTCGGATTTTAGTGCGAAATCCATTCAATTATTTGGCTAAATATCATTTTGGTATTACAGCTGTGGTCAGTTCGTGATGAAACGTTAAATATAATTCATAACACTAACGTTCAGTTGTAAGCCTTAATCCTAGTTCCTTACACTAACATGTAACCCTAGTAAGTAGGTGGACATTCCAAGGTCATTATAGCGTGCCTCAAAGATTGTCCATATATTATAGTCTCACCAAGATTACTTCCAGTCCCTAAACTCAAACTGCTATCCAAGATAATCAAACTTCCAAAAAACCGGACCACCATCTTCACAGAACTACGGGGTTAATTTATCAAAACCTGGATTCCCTCAGTTTAGATTAGTCGTGGATTTTTCAACATCACTAAGAGTCGAGGAGCATATGTTGGTATCTCATTCAGGTTGCTTGGTAACAGTAGACAACTGGAGGTAGCTGGAAAGCAGTTAAACTGTTCTTCAAAGTTTACCATCCATCGTCCCAATACATTGGGCTGGGTAGAACATTGTTCGATCTTTTCCGCAATAAATTCACTAACTACTGGATTTTAGATTTTTTCATGAGTTTTGTTCCGAAATAGTCTCACTGATAGCTGAATATTTAACACCAGTTTCCTCGATGAACCGTAAAAAATATGTGGTTTTACCTATCGCCACTACCTTATCTTTTCCATCTCTCCTTCATTACTCATAGCTGCTCTCGACGAGACTAAACTTCTTGTCCGTTCACATTGTCACTGTGTGCCAAATTACATCGTTAGATAAATGATAGTTGTCTAGTCGATAGCAGAACGCAACTTCTTGAAAAAGGCACTAAAAAGAATACCTTTTAGTGGATTGGAATATCATATTCGAAGAAAGTATCTTTTAGCTTTTAGACCCCCCAAATGCCCTGGTACGGTCGAGGGTGGGGAGAGTCAACTCTCCCTCTCCAAATGCTCTCACATGGCCACGTGCATACAACCACTGACAGGGAAGTCCCACTCAATGCCTTCTCGCGGCATTACTGTTCTTTACGAAATTGAGAAAACGAAACGCGAATATCCGGAGCTTTAACCGGTTTAGTGGGTATAGAGGGTCTACACAGAAGAGTTGAAAAACCCTGATTCCAAACAAATGATGCACATGGGCTCCAGTATATTGAGGGAACAAATTGTGTGCGAACCAATCGTTGGTCAACGGCAACCATGAAACTGCATCTCCCTACGTTGCTCCACTGCCTTGTGGACCAGATCGTTAGATCAAAGGCTCCGGGTGAGGCCCCCTAAGAAAAAACCACCCGCTTCAGTTTCGGCACCCGGGCAGTATTACAGCCCTCACACAAATCGAACGATTTATGTGGTGCAAATCTATTTGGTGCCTCCTTGTACCAGTATCTATGTGTTAAAATAAATAAATAAATAAATTTATGTTTTGTTTTCGACAAACATTTACTAGTCCTTTAAGATGTAAATAAAATATGATACAAAAAAGGATACGTCCTGGTACCAATGGACTAATATTTACGAACGCAAAGCTTAACTTCGATTGATAAAAGACACAATCCGATTTGATTATATGAGGACCAAATTTAAAATCCACAGACTGTATAGCTATTTTTGCAAATAAAATTGGACAACAGCAAAAAATGTTTAATATAGCTGGTTTAAAATAAACTTACTTGATTATTTATTATTATTATTATTATTGTTATTATTATTATTATTATTATTATTATTATTATTATTATTATTAATGGCTTTGAGTCATTTTTATTAAGGATATAAATACATAAACGAAGATAAAAATAGTGTTAACCTGAGATCAGGGTTATAGAACAGCTGAATAACTGACTTGGTTGAGACATTGTAACACTTGAAATAATAAAATTAGTAAGAAGTAACTTTAGGCATGTGGAACAAGCAACAACACGAATGAGTAATATAAAATGGTTTGGCGAAATCAACATGAATACAAAGCCATCGTTTAGTAGAAAATGATCACACATATGACTTAATTTTCCAGATGTTGGCATTTCGACAGAACATATTCGCTGTATCAGCAAACCAATTTTTTGATCTGCTCATAAATTTCACGGGGACACATGCAACTACAGGTAATTAAGTTTATTGTATTGATTTCAAGATTAAATGAGAGATGCCTTGGTGTGTAGGTATGGAGATTAGATGCAACTACAACTCACTGAAAGAAAATAGCAGTCGCTTATAATTGATAAAGACTGATAAGATGCGGTAACTCATGCAATATTTCACATTGAGCTTATCTATTTCGGATAAATTTTGGGTACTTATTGTAAAATTAGATAACAAAGCTTGTGGTTTGAAACCTGAAGCAGTGATTTCAGTAACATTGAGAGAGAAAAAAATGGATTAAAATCAGAAGCGAAGAAGAAAATAAGTAGACGAGTAGCATATAATGAGAAAAACAAGTCAGTTAGAAATACCATCAGAAAGAGTTCTTTCAGTTAATGGATTTCTCATCAGTTTCTATGAAGAATGCAAAGTAAACCACAATGGGATCGCTATTACCTTATGTACTCAATTATTTCTGATCATGTTTCAACCCACTGAGTCCTACCATCTACAGAACCTTCAGTGAGAAGTCCTGCACAGCCTCCTTCCATACTACGGTGTTGAGTCATAATCTGACTATTCGCTTTATTTACCCAGTTTCAAGGTTCACAAATCGCCGAGATAACATTTGTAACACATGTACAAGCTACCGGAGTTAGTATTTTAAAGTAATGATATCGACTGAATTATTGTCGATGTGCTAAAACACACATTGCTAAACCTTAGCATTACTAACATGGCGTTACCACGGATGTCAGCAATTCTTTGGAGACAAGAACAATGGAACGATTCCCGAACATCCTTAACTCGGAGGCCAGGTTTCACAAGCGCAGAGTATGAATACTTGGCTTGAATGAGTTGAGTTTCTGATAGTTAAGATGCAGCTGCCACTTCAATCTCGTTAGTAATCTCCGACTACCAAACTTCTCAGTCAGTACGCAAACTTTTTAAGAATTTAAAACTGCCGTCAAACTTACGGTTGGCTGAAGTAGACTGAAGTATCGCACAAAATCGCAAGAGATGCGACCCGCTATTTCCAAGGCATCATGCAAATCCTGATGGACTGACTACTAGACTTAAACCTAACTCGGTTCGGTATTGTGATTGCAATGGAAGCCTCAACCAATTCACCTATGTCAATCGCTTTGGGATGAGACGTCCGTTAGTCATTAAAAAGCAAGGTCAGCTAAGTGAAAACAAGGACATAATCAGAGTCCGAATAGGTACTCCAAAAAGAGCGGCAGTCCGACGCACAACCATACAAAGAGTAGTTGATAGGGATTTGACCAATATGAGTTCAGGGATGAATTGGAGAGGAAGGAGTTAAGGTAGCACATTATTGATGCCCTGTTACGGTCGAGGGTGGGGAGAGTCAACTCTCCCTCTCCAAATGCTCTCACATGGCCACGTGCATACAACCACTGACAGGGAAGTCCCACTCAATGCCTTCTCGCGGCATTACTGTTCTTTACGAAGTTGAGAAAACGAAATGCGAATGTCCGGAGCTTTAACCGGTTTAGTGGGTATAGAGGGTCTACATAGTTTTTATTTATTTTATTTTATTTTAACACATAGATATTGGTACAAGGAGGCACCAAATATATATGCGCCACACAAATCTCATTCGATATGTGTGAGAGCTGTGATACTACCCGGGTGCCCAAACCGAGGCAGGTGGTTATCTTAAAGGGCCACACCCCGAGCCTTCGACCTGAAGGTCTGATCCACAAGGCAGTGGAGCATCGTAAGGAGATGCAATCCCATGGAAGCCGGTGACCAACAATTGGTTCATACGTCATTTGTTCCCGCAGGATACTGTAGCCCATGTGCACCATTGGTTTGGAATCCGGTTAAAGCGCCGGACATTCGCTTTTCGTCCTCTCATTTTCGTAAACAACACCCCGGTGAGAGAAGGCAGTGAGTAGGACTTCCCTGGCAGAGGCTATATACGCGTGGCCAGGTGAGAGCATTTCGAGAGGGAGAGCGGACTCTCCTCACTCTCGGCCGTACCAGGGCATTTGGGGGCCCCAAGCAAATGATGCACATGGGCTCCAGTATATTGAGGGAACAAATTGTGTGCGAACCAATCGTTGGTCACCGGCAACCATGAAACTGCATCTCCCTACGTCGCTCCACTGCCTTGTGGACCAGATCGTTAGGTCAAAGGCTCCGGGTGTGGCCCCCTAAGAAAAAACCACCCGCTTCAGTTTCGGCACCCGGGCAGTATTACAGCCCTCACACAAATCGAACGATTTATGTGGTGCAGATCTATTTGGCGCCTCCTACCTATGTTCATGTGTTTAAGTAATAATAAATAAAATATGGATGACTGTGACAGAAGTAGGTGCTGGCCAGAAACAGATTATTTATGGAACGTATCAGAAAAGTCATTCTTATCTGACCTGGGACAACGAGTTTCATTTGATCACAAATGACTCTGCTCTGAGCCTAGATGCCCGTACCTAGGTATTTAAATCTCCAATTAGCACTACCATATAATTGTCGAATGCGCTTCCAAGAGATTTTATTGTTGATAGTTCTCATCCTTGATTTCAACCAAAGTGCTATTTATTCATTGCATAGGCAGATATTTAGAAGAGACATTACATACCATGCCATTTTCTTCCTATTGTTATGAACTTTTCTAATCTAACATCACATAAACGACTGTTAATGTGGATCCAATCGATTAGTGATGGCTCTAGTCTGGTGCTAAAGGAAACACTAACGCCAGTCAAACCAGATGAAAATAATAGCCCCAGATAAATCCACATAAAACAAACTTTTCAGATAGGCAGATGAAGAACGAATTCGTCTTTAAACATGGTTTTTTGGATAAACAGCAAACATTAATGTTAAGACCTTTCAAAGACCTAGTCAAACCTATATGCTGACCAATCTACATCAGTTTGAGGACGTTGAGGGTGGGTAATTTAAATAATACAGGCGGTTTTAAGAAGTCTGATCTATACATCACATTCAGTGGTAGCATTCCGAATTTCGACTAGACAGAGACTTAAGATAGTTTAGGGAGGATAGTACTTTCGACACATACAAGGTACTGAGGGGGTTGAGAAATAGAAGTAAACACCGAATGGAAAGAAAATGGAATGGGAAAGTAAAGTAAAACAAGTATACTTGAACATAATGGATAGCAATTATCCTTTGAGCTAAAGAGGACGCAAAGTAAATATATCAAATTTTTCATAATTTTGGTTACATTTGCATAAGAGCTAGGACACTTTTCGATGGCAAAAGCAGATGCAAGTGGTTTTCTTAAGGGATCACTCCTTAAACTTGAGATCTAGGGGTCTAATCCACAACGGGGTGGAGCGGCGTTAAATAACGTCCTATGGTAGCCGGTGACTAAAAATGAGCTTATGTGACATTTGTTTCCTTAGAATTCTGAAGTTACTGTGCACAAGTGATTCGGAATCCGTTCCCCAACTCGCCCGACAACCCAGTTAAAGCGCCGGATGTTCGCTTTTCGTCCTCTCATTTCTGTAAACACGCCCATTGCATGAGTAGGGCTTCTGTGGCAGTGGCTATTAATGCATGGCCATATGAGAGCATTTCAAGAGGTGGAACGGACTCCCCCTAGACTTCAGTCGTACCAGGTGGTTTGAGGTTAAACACTCAAAACACCTTAGCCATCTAGCGAGTTTCCTCAGTTAGATGTGACTGTGCACCGGACAAGTAAGTGTCTGTTCACTCCATGATGTTAATACGCATGTGCACAAGAACAGAGGTGAATCCACACTCACACGCACAGACATACAACTACACAGAACGCCGCTGACATATCTCCAGTTAACAACGTGTACTCAGCCAAAATCCGTTATGCACTGAGATCTGATTCATTCAGCAAGTTTCCCAACGCATGCTCATCCAGCTATGCAAAGGGAGACTAAAAATGAGCTAAAATTGATGAAACCATGCACAGATCAAGCAGACGCAAATATATTTTTATACATAAATATACATCACTGGAGTAATCCAGATATATGGGTGGTGACTTTGGTCAAATGAATAATCTATTAATTAACAATAAGCCTAGACTTCTCATATACCAAGTGCCCTTGTGATAGCATGAGATCTGTGTTGGACCCGATCGACTTATTTGATAGTGAATTTACATGATAACAATAACCCCCATCAATGGAGATAGGTTACAGTATAAAATATTTTTTCTTGAAACTAAAGACAGATATTAAAGGGTTTGTGATCAGTAACCACGGTAGATTTTCTTCCAAGTGAAATTTTGTGGAATTCCTACACTTCAAAAATGCGAGACAATCCTTCTAGGTGCAAAACACCTTTACACGACTGACAGGACCGTTATCCTGCACTCACCCTGAGTAGTGAACAGGCAGTAACTAATGTTTTATCCGGTGAAGATTAAATTACAGGTAACTTCCAAGGGCTATTCATGGACTAATATTCTATAAATATTCTTATTGTATAACTACTCAACAATTACACTGTATATTTATATTCCTTTTATGATAAGCTTTATTTTGACCTATAACTTATTATTGTACGATTTACGGTTCTTAAGTTATGTTCAGTTTATTAACTACTGCCTCCCACATTCACAGCCACTTTTTGGGCTTATTTGTGTACAAATATTATTTCCTATTTTATGGTACGTTTTGGTCTGTCTGATTGATATATAAACTGGGTATGTCTGAAATAAACGATCTGGTCTGATCTGCTCTGATTCGATTCATATTACGGAAGCTGGTATTGTGTTCTGGACTCAAGTGGAAGGGCTCGGAGGACATAGGACCAATAAGGACGCTAAACTGCCCACACCGGTTGAACGTCATTGGTTGGCCTAGTTTGAAGGTTCGTATAAGTCGTATTCGGATTGGTAGACATTTCTGATAGTCTCTAGCCTCTGTGTTGCACCATCTCTCGGAGATTCGTGAAGGACTGGCTTCTGTTGGACCTTCACGACTCCTTAGTTGGGGTCCTAGAGATGGTGCAACACAGTGACTAGAGACGTTATTAAACATGGCTTAGAGTATAAGTTAGTGACGATCCTGCCGTAACTTTCTTCTACTTTCTCCATAAAAGTGATCCTAACTTCTCTAAGTGAAAGGATTTTTGTTGGTTGTATTTTTTGAAACTGAACTGTTTCCTCCACTATTGTTCTTTCACTCCCATAAATTAATTTTGGTTCGTTGTTGTTCTTTATTTTACTATACACACTTCACATAATCTATCTCTTCACAACCTCATTGTTGTTGTGCATCGCATAAGTATTTGGTGCCCCATCGTACCAATGTTTGTGTTCAAATAAATACTAAATAATTGACCTCAACATATGAAACGATTTTTGACATTCAGTAAACCAATCCCATTTCGCACTTTTGAACAGAAAATAACCGTGTGTTTGCAAAATTTTTAAATTCTAAATTAAACCGAGTTATCGATGAGCAAAAGGATTTATACTAGTAAAATTAACCACTTTCGTCACAGCTCCTAATTTCAAAAATTAGCAAGATGTGGATTCTAACCAGAAATTTCGCGTTACTTTATGGCTGACTGATCATTGTGGAACAATCACATGAATGGAATTCATCACTCTACATCAACTTCATTGACTACGAAAAGGCATTTGATAGCGTGGACAGAACAACACTATGGAAGCTTCTTCGACACTACGGCGTGCCTCAGAAGATAGTCAATATCATACAGAACTCATATGATGGATTACACTGCAAAATCGTGCATGGAGGACAGTTGACAAAGTCGTTCGAAGTGAAGACCGGTGTTAGGCAAGGTTGCTTACTCTCACCCTTTCTCTTTCTCCTGGTGATCGACTGAATCATGAAGACGTCAACATCTGAAGGGAAGCACGGGATACAATGGACATCTAGGATGCAGTTGGACGATCTGGACTTCGCAGATGATCTGGCCCTTCTATCCCAAACGCAACAACAAATGCAGGAGAAGACGAACAGTGTGGCAGCAGCCTCAGCAGCAGTAGGTCTCAATATACACAAAGGGAAAAGCAGGATTCTCCGATACAACACAGAATGCACCAATCCAATCACAATTGACGGGGAAGATTTGGAAGATGTAAAAACCATCACATATTTGGGCAGCATCAATGATGAACAGGGTGGATCTGATGCAGATGTGAAGGCGCGGATCGGCAAAGCAAGAGCAACATATTTACAACTGAAGAACATCTGGAACTCAAAGCAACTGTCAACCAACACCAAGGTCAGGATTTTCAATACAAATGTCAAGACAGTTCTACTGTATGGGGCAGAAACCTGGAGAACTCCGAAAGCCATAATCCAGAAAATACACGTGTTTATTAACAATTGTCTACGCAAAATACTTCAGATCCATTGGCCGGACACTATTAGCAACAACGTACTGTGGGAGAGAACAAACCAGATCCCAGCGGAGGAAGAAATCAGGAAGAAGCGCTGGAAGTGGATAGGACACACATTGAGGAAAGCACCCAACTGCGTCACAAGACAAGCCCTCACATGGAATCCTCAAGGCCAAAGGAGGAGAGGAAGACCAAAGAACACATTACGCCGAGAAATGGAAATAGACATGAGAAAAATGAACAAGAATTGGATGGAACTAGAAAAGAAGGCCCCGGATAGAGTGGGTTGGAGAATGCTGGTCGGCGGCCTATGCTCCATTAGGAGTAACAGGCGTAAGTAAGTTGTGACTGACACTATGTTTAACGACGATAATTAGCTCTTCCAGTAGTAGACGAGGACAATACTGTAAAACACAACAATGTTAGCTGGACTAAGTCAAAGGGTATTTTGCAAATAATAGTTTCGATTTTGCATCAACCTAGGCGACTCAACAAAATTACTGAGAACCAAGTAGCAACAAATACCTATTTAATTTTAGTTTGATACTTCAGTAGTGACTTTATTATCAAATAACTTAACTGAATATTATTTCTAGTGCCCAAGAGTGATATGATGAGTGCATGTTTTAAGGAGCCGTAATCAGTGTAGTCGAACGATATTGAAGATCGATCTCTTAAAGGTAGTTTGATAGTTCTCGAGTAATGTGGGTTTACAGAAGTCTGGTGTGAACCATCGGCTGATGACAATATGTTTATTGTGAGAACCCGAAAGTTCTGAACCACTTTTCTTATCCGGTCAAGGGTGTACACCACTAAGGGGTACCAGGTTGAAAATATAAAAATGTCAACTACCTTTGTATCAGTTTTCTGATTGGTATCAGTTGGTGGTAAGCAGATTCCTTAAACTAAGATCTAATTGATTTTACTAAGTTGCTCCATTTGTAAGTTTTTTTTAAAAATTTTAAATATTTTAGTAAAAGTAATAGCCTTCTTAAAACAACGATTTTGATAGAATTGTATAACTATTTTTACAGTTGTGAACTCCCTATTACTGAGTAAAATGAAGGAGAAAGTAGGTTTGAATATATACACTTACAACGAGGATACCCACTGTCAGACATTGGAAATAAATCGAATCGTCTATGATATTCCACAGGCATTGATCTTCTTACATGATAAATTTTAGGAATAATAGATGTTGTTGAATTAACCATGGTAAATGGACCTATTTCACATGTTAATAAACCAGGACCAGGATTCATCTGTTCAGTGATAATTTGACCCCAAGGATCCACAACCAAACTATGCCCATATGAAGATCGTCCTTCGTTATGTTTACCTTCCTGCACACAAAGAAATCACAAAGAAACTTTCATAAAAATACATACGGATGGTGAGTATACCAAAGAATATAGGCATTACTCTAAATTCATGTATATGTTGATATATTCATCATTGATAGCAGGATAATGTTTGGGGAGATGAAGACAACTGAATTCCATTTTGAATATTTGACAATTTAACTTCACCTGAAGCATTGATGCTCTCTCGAAAGAGGCACAACAAGCACTCATAAGATGAAAAACCTACGACTCCGAGATTACCATAGCATTTCTCGAGACAAAAAATGGATTATAATGAACATCATCCAGTGCTACTCATCTCCATCAATGGCAGCAGCGATGATAAATACCATCTCTATTGAATGTTGCAGTCCATCCTAGAAAAATACTAAGGAAGCAATCTGACGCTTCTGATGGGGAACCTAAGCACTAAATCCAGCGAAACCAACAATTTGTAAAGACGCATCAATGGGAGAAATGGAGAAGGAGAAAGCAGAAAGAATGGTAGGTCTAGGTGGTTTCAATAACACAGTTATAGGTGGTAGGATTTCTTAATACGAACATATGCATAAACCTACATAGGTTTCGCCGGACCGCAATATAGAAATCTAGGTTAACCAAGCAACAATAAATAAGAAATTCCGAAAGTCTACAAAAGACGTACGAACAAATAAGGAAGCTGATATAGCTTCAGCATTGCGCAATTAGACAAAATTACGAAAGTTTAATACAGCCTTCCTTTCAGATTCTAACAAGTTACAAGACTTAAAAGATCGTCTAGGAGAAACCACTATGAGAAACGACTGGAAAGAAATTAAAAAAGCAGTGACTTCAATATCGTAGGAGGTGCAACTGGAGAGTATCTGGAACTTCAAACAAGTACCAACCAACAACAAAGTCAGAAACTTTAATACAAAGGTCGAGATAGTTCTATTGCACGGGGCTGAAACTTGGGTAACTACTACAACCACCAATGGTGCACATGGGCTTCAGTATCCTGTGGGAACAAATGGCGTATGAACCAATCGTTGGTCACCGGCTACCATGGGATTGCATCTCCTTACGATGCTCCACTGCCTTGTGGGTTAGACCTTTAGGTCAAAGGCTCGGGGTGTGGCCCCCTAAGATAACCACCCGCTTCGGTTTGGGCACCCGGGCAGTATCGCAGCCCACACGCAAATGATGGACTCTCTATATCTATGGGAACTACTTTTCTCGCTTCGAATAACAATCAAATGATTCAAATGATTATTATTATTATTGTTATTATTATTATTATTATTACTATTATTATTATTATTTGTCTAACAACAACTATTAGAAGAACATTTAACGCGGCAAAACTGCGAATATCCTTCACTAGTAGAAACTTATTTTCTGTATCCATAAAAAATAAGCTTCCGCGTCTGGTCGCCTCCATGTGCATCTACCAGTTCACCTGCTCTTGTGGAGCAAGGTACATTGGCCGTAGCAGGCGCTCGCTTTCGACTCGGATACGAGAACATAACCCAGCTTGGTTCTATAAGGGTGAAAGGAAAGCAGTTAGGAGTTCTATACTTGAACACCTAATCGACTATGACCATTCAACGGATCCACAAATTGACTTTAAGGTTGTTTATATGATTCGTTCAAATCTACCCGGATTTCTTCGTATCCAACTTTTTAAAAAAATAGCCGAAGCTCTTAGCATCCAGGAGTTTAAACCAGAACTATGCGTACAAAAGAAGTACGTCTTATCGTTATCGTTACCTTGGCCTTAAGCATTTTGATTATCCAACTATTATTATTATTTTCACAGATTGAACTCATGAGTCAGTTGAAGCTAGACCACCATTGAAAACCTGGAAGCACTGGACGGCCGTATGGGACTCCTCAGCAGTGCGCATCCACGACCCCGCACCACCCGGGGCTCGAACCCAGGACCTACTGGCTTCGCGCGCGAGCACTCAACCATTAGACCACTGAGCCGGCATCCAACGGTGTTAATGTCTAACTTCAACCAATCCACGAAGTTGCGCTACCGTACACCATTGTCTTATTATTATTATTATTATTATTATTATTATTATTATTACTGCATTCTCCCCTTTACTTATGTCTTATGTTCTCATTGTTTTATTCGTGAATGCTCATCATATCACCTTATTTATTTTTTACACCTTTATGACCTTTAACTATTATAACAAAAAAACATTTTAATCATTTTAATCATCTTATTATATTCACTAAATCTATGGTTATTATTCATATTACGTAATCTAGTATTATAACCTTTTTATTAACTGTGTTCACATTTCCTCACGGAATTAGTACTTTAACAAAAAACAAAAAAAATTTCATATATATACGATTGTACAGCTTGATAATAAATTCGTTGAAAAGAGATCCCTTCGCTGAAATTCATGTTTTAATTTTAGTGTTTAAATGGGAATTATCTGTCAATATTATTATTATTTCCCACATTATTCACCCTCTTTTATACTTACACTGCGGCTCGTCTTTGGTGGAAATTCGACTGTATCTAAACGTTCTCAAGTCACTGTCCGGTTGAAAATTGTATGTTACCACCGAATATGAGTAGTGAAGCAGTTTTTCTGAAAACACATGAACCATTCAAACTGGCTGCCTTCAACGTTCGCACACTTATGCAGGTCGGACAACAGATAGGGCTGGCTATGTCTTTGGAAAGTCTTAATATCGATGTCTGCTGTCTATCCGAGACTCGTATTCAAGACTCTGGTGAAGTACTACAAATTCGATCTCCATCTGTCGCTTCGAAAAGCTTGTTTTACATGCGCTTATCCGAGGGCCTTGTGGCATCTTCGTCTGGTCTTGCTGGCGTTGGTGTCGCACTAAGCGCTAGAGCTGAGGCAGCACTAGTCGATTGGATCCCCATTAACAGTCGGTTATGTGCTGTTAGATTAGAAAGTTCCACCAAAGTGAGAAGAAATCGGCGTGAGAAACGATGTCTTTTCGTCATCTCCGCCTATGCTCCGACAGATTGCAGCCCGGATGCAATCAAGGATGATTTTTACCACCAGTTATCTGTTCTTCTCCAGAAACTGCGTTCGACAGATATTGTAGTACTAGCCGGAGACTTGAATTCTCAGGTCGTTTAGGTGGCCGATGGGGATTTGTTGGTCGCAGGTCAGATAACGGGGACCGTCTACTGCAACTTTGCACAGAGCACAACCTCTTTCTGGCTAGCACTTAACTCCGGATCTTTTTAAAGATGGTGGTGACTTTTTGAGTAAGGAATTGACGACGTTGTTTACAAAGGTTTGGGAACTAGAGAGTGTACCAACGTCATGGAATGAGTCGAGAGTAGTCCTTATCTTTAAAAAGGGTTCACGTCGTTCCTGGGACAACTATCGGGGGATAGGTCCACTACCTTTGGCGCCTTCGTGATGTTAGTCTGGCTGTAAAAGGTCGGATCTACAACGCGTCGGTGAGAGCAGTTTTGCTCTATGCTTGTGAAACCTGGCCTCTCCGAGTTGAGAACGTAAGACGACTCTCTGTGTTCGATCATCGTTGTCTCCGAAGGATTGCTGACATCCAGTGGCAACACCATGTCAGTAATGCAGAGGTTCGGCATCGTGTGTTCGTGCACAGAGATGATAATGCAATCGATATCACCATCTTGAAACACCGACTTTGATGGCTTGGACATGTTCTACGAATGTCGTCCCAGAGAATTCCACGTCGTGCAATATTTGTCGACTCTGGGACTGGTTGGAAGAAGCGGAGAGGTGGTCAGTATATGACATGGTGTCGTGGGATGAAAGAAAGCTGCAAAGGACTGGCTTCTGTTGGTCCTTCACGACTCCCTGGCTGGGGTCCGAGAGATGGTGTTACACAGTGGCTAGAGACGTTATCAGATATGGCTCAGAATGGAAGCCAGTGGCGATCCTGCTGTAACCTTCTTTTACTTTCTTCATAAAAAGTGGTTGTGTCTTCCTTAACTGAAAGATTTCTTCTGATTGTACCTTTCCGTTCCCTCATTATTATTATTATTATTATTATTATTATTATTATTATTATTATTACCAACCTCTTTGTTATTGTTCTCTTTTTTTCACGCTCCTTACCTTTTTTCCTTTCTCTTCGAATTCTCATTGTTTTGTGTGGCGCATATATATTGGCGCTCTCTTGTACCAATATTTGTGTTCAAATAAATAATAAATAAATAACAACCACCAACGAAACTGCGCAAATATCTATAGACAGTTGTTTACGCAAGATACTCAACATCCGTTGGTTGGATACCAACAGCAATTACCTACTATGACAGAGAACAAATCAGCTTCCAGATGAAGAGTAAATTAGAAACAGATGCTGGGAGTAGATAGGACAAACACTGATAAAACCATCAAACTGCATCACAAGGCAAGTTCTAACATGCGATCCTCAAGGGAAAAAGGGAAAGAGCCGAAGAGGGGATGGAAAGCATTCAGCAACAGCTGGAGAGTCCAGGGGGAATTGATTGGAGATCATCAATCGACTTGCCATCCTTACCAAGTACCCTATTCCTAACTCAGGCATTGCTTATTCCGTGGTCCCAAAATGCACGAGCAATACATCGTGGACACCTATAACCGCATACACTACAAATGCCGCGAGTTGGAAAGAGCCAATCGGACCTTCTTAATCCGTACCGAGATTTCGTTGGACACCAAACTATCAGTACTAATGAGACTTTCAAGATAAGTGAAGCAGTCAATGCGTCCAGCTATTCCACTCTCTATCACTAATTCAGGCAATGACGCACGTCAATTTTGAAGTAACATTTCAAATTTGGAGGGAGAAAACCCTATCCCAAATATCCTTGCATTGCTGCCTAAGGCAATCATAAGATTATATTTTGTAAACGCTCTCACTAAGCAGAACTATACCGTCTGTACGTCCTAAGTCAACAAGTGAATCTCCCTGTAGAAGACCGACTCCTGAGAAGTCAGCCGATGAGATATTATCCATAAAAGCATTCTATGACAAAGTTAGATAAAAATGGAGAAAGACAACCCTGAAGAACAACACTTGAAGTAACCAATTCCGATAAGTTCTTAATGAGCCCTGACTCGACCAGTAGTGTTCGGGTAGATAGCCTGTACACCGTTAATGTACTTTTGAAGGACTGCAACACGACCTCACAACCAACAGTCAAACGCCGCCTTAAGGTCAAGTATGTCTATGTTCCGGACTTCAAAAAGTGAATACCTTACTTCTATCGTACCCCTCTATATTCAACAGTACAACTTCGGCCTGGGGCCTTAAGTTACTGTTTTTAGTTCTATCGTTCTCCAACCGACCAGCTTGGCATGGTAGGGCCTAAAGGAACATATATTCCAGGTAATCTTGTTCGCTTGAGTCATCACAATAGACAAATACGACAACCACGTCAAGATAGAAGATGCGGTAGGTTGGGTCACTCAGGGATCGGCTAAATGACACCGCGTCACAATACATATTCAGTATAATCCATTTTGAATCAATACACTAGTTCTTAATCATATATCAGCTGACTAATATAAAATACACTGTGAAAACTAAAAATTGATGCGCCTTAATTGATCTCAAGAAAACATGATGTACATAATTTAGACTTGCATCAAACAAACAACCAACATAGATACCTCCGGCAGTTAAATTAGCAAGAATATATTAAATTACTAGAAAAAAGGTACAAATTAGGTGAGACAGTTCATCAGAATGAAAAGCACAGGAATGAGTAGGTTACCTGGGCTGCAGCAACTACATAACACTGATTCTCAATAGCTCTGGCTCGAATCAACGTATGCCAATGACCAGCTTCTCCTGTACGTGTAGTATAAGCAGATGGATAACTTAGAACATGAGCATTCTTAGCATATCGAAGATGAGATGCTAGTTCAGGAAATCGCATGTCATAACACTAGGAAGAAATCGATTTATAATTAGAATATCTATATTATTTGAAAAGAACTTTTTAAGTATTAATTATTGATTGAGCGTAAAACCTAAGAGGAATAGTGAAATACACATCTGACAAAGAACTTGTAATAAAAACAACCATACACTCGCACAAGCACTTAAATCTCAACTGCTGAGTTACAGGATCAGAACCCACCCCATCCACAAACATACATTCAGTCAGTCAGTCAGCTACAACGTAGGACCAGGCACATATGTGCACCGGTCCAGGTTGCCATACCTCATTAGCACAGCAATATGAACAGCTGATTCATAGGAGTGGTTAGGTTAAAGGTTGCAATAAGGATATAGTATAGGAAGAAAGAATTAGTTCGTAGACAGAAAGAATGAAGTGATTTTAGTCTCTTCGTTTAAGGGAAGACAGGGAGTGTATATACCGACGCCATTGTGATCGATTCTGAGCCATGTCACCAAGAGTCTCCAACCATTGGTTACGAAAGTCACGCGGACCCCAACCAAGTAGTCTGCATCTACCAACATGGCTCAGACTACAAGTTAGTGACTTCAGGCACTGATGCCACGTTTTGGTTTGGCCGCCCCTAACTTTCTTCCAACCATCCCCTACCCCGGTTAGCATTGCACGTCGTGGTAATCGGTGTTCAGGCATACGTAATACGTGGCCCAACCATCTCAGTCGATGAAGATTCATAACCTCATCAACTGATTTACCATCATTCCCTAATACCCTGCGTCTAACCTCACTATTACTTACCCGGTGATCCCAGCAGATGCCAGCAATATTTCTAAGGCATCTGTGGTCAAATACTTGTAGCTTACGAGTGTCTTCTACTCTTAAGGGCCATGTTTCGCTGCCTTAAACATACAAACAACTTAGAGTCACTATTAACAGGCTTCATACGATAGACGTTCCAGCTTACTGCATGATTTTGAAAGTGACTGCCAAATCACATAATAGGCATTAGTATCTTCATAAAATGGAATCGGTAAGAGTTGAACGCTCCGTATAAAATGTCTTTAGTCGAAACCAGATAAGCAGCTATGAATATGGTAAACAGACGTACAAGAAATCACGAGAAGCGTGTACCATGTCTGTCATCCGGTATATTTCAGTCATACTGAAAATAAATATATCGGATGGTGTTAATATCAATTCTTAAACCTTTGTCAAAAACAGTTCTTGGAGAACCAGTAAGTTTGGAGAACGCTAAATTACTCCTCAAAACATTGTATTTTCTTATCTCATTGGAACTGAACAGGCACATAATTCACTACTGAAACGGCAGCTACTAGCGAAATCCTTGAGATTTTACGTTGATTTTTACCTTTGAAGATAAAAGCTAAGTGATGCACATAAACTGAAGCATCTAACTTTATTACCACCTAACTTGTCTGAGATTCAACGAGCTGATGGTATTAGCAGTCGAAAGGTCAGTCAAACTACCAGTGTCACTAATATTTAGTTTCAGAATATAATATTAGGACACCTCATTGGATGGCTTTTATTGGATGAATTGCGTCATAAACTTATCCAGTCATATTAACCTATATGAATACTGTAAAAGATATTTTTACACTATTTATTTTGTCCCCTTGACCCCATCTATAATCTTTAATATTAGCTATGCAATTATTTTAGACTTGTAAAAGAAAAGAAGATTTTTTGCAAACTAGGTGGTCCTCACCAGGTGAATAACTAAGAGTAATACACATTTAGGAATATTTCTTATCCTGGAGTTACAACTGAAAAGTAACGTATACTATTATGTGTAGATGTTCTGTTACTGTCTGATTTTTGACAAATTTAACATGACACTAGTAAAATTGTGTCAGATATAGACAAAATAATCACTGTTACGTACGATAGCTAGTCCCAAATTTCCAATAGGGGTGTTTTGGATTACGATTGGAGCCTCGGTACCAGCACATATCGCTTTCGACTCAAAAAACGATGATCGCGTACATGTTGACTACAAAAACAAATTTTTAATCGATGAGTTTAATTGTAAATAATCGACAAATGAGTCAGAATTAAATGATAATGTAGCAACGAACACTTATAAACAAAATACACGAGGCGATGTTGAACCAATGGTCTATCAGGTAAATTTGTATTATAGTAAAATAGCAATGAACTGTGACTAGCAGATACATTGACTTAGGTGATGCTAATTCAATAGTAAAAGGAAAAATATAGAGTATATGGTAACTATTTTCGTACATTCAAGAGCTACGCTGTATTCGGTTAACAGTGCATGCTTTATTACAAACCTCTACAGGCAAGTTTATGGTTTAAAAAAATGCTGAATAATCTGTTAAAGGCTTTTCATGTTACTGGATATATTAAACGTATGTCAAATATCTCGCAGTCACCCTATAAAGTCAGATTAGTCTTATAACGGACATAAAATTTGGGCTATCAATTTAATTTACAGATGATAAACGACTTAAAGAAACATCAAAAGGAATTACAGTAGTATAACTCCACACGGCTGAACCTTACCAGAACCAAATACTTTATTTATCTATTTATTTATTTGAATACAAATAATGGTAAAGGGGCATGGAATACATATGGGCAACACAAGTCACATGATTTCCGTGTAGGTTGTGATAGTGCCTGAGTACCCAGACGGAAGCAGGTGGTTTTCTTAGGGGGCCACACCCCGAGCCTTTGACCTAAACGACTAATCCACAAGGCAGTGGAGCAACATCAGGAGATGAAGTCCCATGGTAGCCGGTGACCAACGATTGGTTCATACGCTATTTGTTCCTTTAGGATACCGGAGCGCACGTGTACCACCGGTTTGGAATGAGGGTTTTCTAACTCCCCTAAGTGGATCCTCCGTACCCACCAAGCCTGTTAAAGCTCCGGACATTCGCGTTTCGTTTTCTCAATTTCGTAAACATCAGTAATGCCACGAGAAGGCAGTGAATAAGACTTCCCTGTCAGTGGTTTCCAGTACATCAACATAAAACAATAGATAAGAAAGATTAATTATAGAAAACTGAATGAAATTAACTTCTGCATTGGGTGTAGTTTCGTTTGTACTTAAATTGGCATCGAATAAATGGACTTTATGATAAACGCCCACTATTTGACCATCTGAATTAATAACTATGTGAGAATTGTACAACTGATCATCGTTCTCTGTGATCTGGATAATTTGGAAACAAAAACGAACATGAAATTAACGGTTATATCTGTAAAAAAAATTAATATTATTTGAGGGATTAACAAGTAACCAAAAATATAATTTTTTTTAAAAAATAATGTAGTAATTATTAGTCGCGAGTATTTACACTGTGGCTGAAAACAAAGAACGTGTTCTGACGGCAGTTTAGTCAACATACAAATTTTAGGATTAGTCAATTAAAGTTTTTCATATTTTTATACACTGCTAAAACCAGTCTTCTTAGGAATACTTTAAGATGCATGGCCTTTATCCTTTATGGACTGTTAGTCGTCACAAGCCATTTTAGTCAAGGTAACTGAGCAGAGTTACACGTAGCATAGGAAGAAAACAAAACTTAATTCTCAATAAATCGAAATGACTCACGTACATATGACCCATACCTACCCGCATACATGAAGCATAAGTTACCTGACATTGACGAATACTAAGGTCTTCACTCGTAGAAAAGAGAAGAGCACAATAAAAACAGGGTAAAACCCACACAACTCGATCCTTAACAGTGAAGGGACCTCCTAAGCTTGAGTTGAACTTAAGTGATATGATCCAAGAACTGGTCGGAGGATCGGAGATGCACTTATCCCATATTTACTACTCTATGCCCGTACCCACTAAACCGGTTACAACGCAAGACAATCGCCTGTCATTTTGAGATTAAGCTGAATTCTCCCTACCGTCAGCCGTACCTGGGCAGTGGGGGTCGTAACATGCATTAACTTCACACAAAGACAATGTAAATGTGCCAAATAATTGCAAGATAACTTAGTCATTTGAAAGATTTCACATTGCTTACCCTAATATGAGCACCACCAAGACTAATCCAAAGGCTTTCTCGAGAAGCTAAGGCACGGTATTTTGTTATCAAAGGTCCGTCTAACACTTCTGAAAGATCAAGTGTCTCCTCACGTGACCGACCAACAAAATCAAAACATTCAGGGAGGAAAACGATCTGAATTTCTATTAATGATAAGATGTTCGATATTTAAACTGACCTTGACTCCTGATGCTATGGCCTGGTTAATATACTTAACCGCCTGGTCGAAATTCCGTTCCTTATCTGCTGTTGATTGCATCTGAACTATACCAACTTTTGTTGTCATGTTTCTTAGCAGTGTTATTCTCGAAGACTTGGCAACGCAGACAGCACCCCAAATTGCTTTCAGCGGAGTAAGTCGCATAAGATCAACGTCCAACGCGCCCTTCAAATGGTTCAAATGGTTGTGGACGGAATAGAAGAAGCTTTCGCTCAACAGGCTTGCGTATCTAGTAGCAGTGGATCACGAATACCCACAGGCAGGAACCTGGGTATATTACCAATGAAAGAGGAAAAGGAAATTATTAAATCATAGTAAGATACTATCCTTAGTCCTTAAGAATAGATCAAGTTACCTCTTAAAAGGACTCCTGGGAAGTCACTTGGACTAGCTCAGCCGGCAGCGAATTCCAGCATTTGACAACCCTTAAGGAGTAGAAGTTGTGTCTACAGTCCGTTCTGCTATGTTGTGTCTCCAATTTCCGGGTGTTACCCCTTAGGTTTGTATTGGGACTAAGTTTAAGTAGGTGTTTAAGAGGATGTCCAGAAGTGTTAAGGACAGTGTAAGCCATCAGAAGGTCACCTCTAAGACGCCTATACTCTAATGAGTAAAGGTCAAGTGATTAGAGGCGCTCTTCATCAGGTTTAGATTTAAGTCCTCGAACTGATTTCGTGGCTCGCCATTGGATACGCTCCAAAGTGACCTTGTCTTTTTGGAGTGAGGGGGGAATACTATGTTTCCGTACTCTAAATGGGGACGGATAAAACTGTTGAAGATTATATGAAAAGTTCTTCTGTCGAAATGGCCAAAAATGCGCTTCAATGTTACCATTGCAAGGTTTGCTCGAAAAGCATTTTTGTCACAGTTAGAGTAAGACTTTAAATCGTGGGGCACCAGCACTCCTAAATATTTTTCGACTTGGGATACTACTAGAGAGGAGTTTCCTAAGTTGTAACTATAGTCTGCGACATGTCGCAGATGGACTACCTTACACTTTGAAGTGTTCAAAGGCCGTTATCGTCTGCCCAACTTTGAAGTCGAGTCAGACCCTCCTGAAGCGCCTGTATATCGTCTTGGTTGCGTATCTCTCTCCAAAGTTTCACGTCGTCGGCAAAATGTAATAAGTCTAACGTTATGTGTTGAGTAAGATCATTTATATAAATCAAGAAGAGAAAAGGTCCTTGTACTGAGCCCCAGAGGACCCCACTAAGACACTCCATAGCCTGAGATAAAGTGAAGTTAACCCTAACCTTAAAATGTCGAGTTTTCAAATATGAAGTGATTAGAGGTGGTCTGATACCCAATCGTTTGAGCTTTTTGATAAGACATGTATGGTTAACTTTATCAGGACTAACACAGGCCACCAGGCCTCCTGTCCTTCCCAAACTGAAACTGAAAAAGCTTTTGAGAAATCTAGGTAGATAATATCAACCTTCCCCTTGTGATCGAGGATGCTTGTTAATCTGTCCACCGCAGTCAGCAGGTTGGTTATACAAGAGTAACCCTTCCTGAAACCATGCTGTTGAGAAGAAATTTAAGGACAGTAAATAGTCATTTATACCATCGCATATCAGGGACTCCATGACTTTTGGAGGTATTGAGAGAAGAGCCTCCGGTCGGTAACTTCAAGGTTCGCTGTGTCGACCTCCTTTGAAAATTGGTGTGATGTGAGCCAACTTCCAATGTTCCGGTAGTTTTCCTCGGCTGAGCGAGTGTGAGAACATCACGCTAAGCGGCGTTGCCAGGATTGAGGCTGCTTCCCTCAGTATGGCAGAATGAACCATATCCGGGCCAGGAGAAGTGTCAATTCTTAAGTGCTGCAGTTTCCGGAACACCAAGTCAGCGCTCGGGTTCACTTCGGAAAGTCTTTTTGAGTTGCAGATGAAGCTTTTGTCAGTATAGTTTATGTGAGTGGGTTGAAATATCCGAGAGTATTGTTCAGCCAAAAGGTTAGTGGCATCGCCGTCGTTACTGGTCGGGCCGTTAGGACCTAGCAGTTGGGAAACTCCAGTTTTGGCTCGACGAAGAGAGGCTGCATAACGGAATAAGTCTTTGGATTGAAGACAAGTTTATCCGTAAGCTTTGTCTGGTACTAAAGTCTGTCTTCCCTTATAGCCTTCGTGCATACGCTCCTTATACGTTTGTATCGCCTGTACGCTCAATTGTACTCTGCCTTTTGCGGCTTAGCAAGCGAAGAGTGCGGATCTTGATGATTGTAGGTTGCTTGTAGCATTTGGAGACCGTTTGAGGGACCGACTACTTTGTAGCACATAAGAGTGTGTGCAGTAAGAAGTCCCAATGAGTATCCAAATCTAAAAGAGGGTGAACATCCCAATCCTTCTGTTGTAGATAGTCCTGTAGAGCTGACACATTCAACCGTTTGAAACTCCAGCGCCTGTTGTTGGTGGGATATCTTAACTCACTTTTGCTGACGAAACTGAAAGCTATAACGGCGTGATCGCTTTTTCCCAGGGGAGCCAGGATTGAGAGGTTGTCAAATAGAAATTCTTCGTTTTTAAATACATAGTCTAAGCGCGATGGCGTATGACTGTTCTTCCAACGAGTTACCGACTTCACATTTTCGTATGATCCCAAATACTCAATGAGGTTAAAGAACCGAGCTTCAGTTGAGTTTTTACCTCCAATATATGTGTGTTCCGTGAAATTCGCTCCAGGGAGATTAAAGTCCCCTATAATCAGGATATGAGTGAATCCGAGACGCGTACGACTGCAATACTCGATATCGGCAGTGGGCTTCCTGTATATGACACTGACTAGGCACCTCGAGGTAGTAGACAATCTTACAGAGCACCATATGGATTCCTCAAGATTTTTAAACTTGAGGTTGTTAACTTGGTGTACCTCCAAGCAAGATCGTATGCATATGGTGTTACGGGAGAACTGAAGACATTTGGCGGATTAAAACCTTTTATTGTACATTAATAATTTACTGTGTTTTTGGATGTAATTGTTTTACTTAACTTTTGAACTTGTTTGTTTATATCATTATTTCGGACATTTTGGCTTGGTACTTTGGTGCTCTCTTTGTCTTTGGTTTGGTATTTGGGAGTTTTGCTCCGGGAACCTACAAAATTGAAGGTTTGTTTTGTAATTCTTATAATTATTGTTGTTAGAACGACATTTGGTCGATTATTTGTGAATTACGAATGAATTTGGTATCTAAATTGGAACTTGGTTCTGTTGTAAATTTGGCTTCGTAATTTGCAAGTAGATCGATAGTCCGTGTAAGATCCATTTTGAATGTTTTGTGTGTTGGTGAAAATCCCTCCATGTATATACTTGTACTTTGTTCCTATTGATCCCATTAGTTGTACATTATTGTATTTTGGTTACATTTGAATTGTTAATACTTGTATTTTTTTATTATAGTTTTGTTTTTATTACGCATTCACTAAGTTTGTGCTTCTTCCTGAACTGCATCTGTGTTGTTTTACTTGACACTTGTTCTTGGCGGTAGCCATATTGATTTGTTCCTCCTGTTGTGTGTGATCTATCCAGTCAGGATAGAATAACGTTCATTCGTTGTAACTGGTAATTTTTCCTCATCTTCTATCAACTTCTTTACTTACTGTAATTTAGATTTGATTGATTGAACAATCATTGGTTGAATAGCCGGGAGGTGATATTTGTTTAGGTAACGATTTACATTTAAATTTATGATGAATTATAGAACCGCTATTTACCCGATTACTTGTTTTGATTTCGACGGGAAAGGGTGCGTGTCTAAAGTCCCCGGTCGGCTATTCTTCAACATCCAAACCGTAGTTTGGATTCTATAGTCCGTACTTCAATAACTGGAACGAGCAAAACTTGGACGTAACATATGGCTACTCCACCCTCGATTCCTGTCTTTCTGTCGTTGCGAAACCAAGACATCTCAGGTATTGCTAGCTCCTGGTCCGAGAACTGAGAAGATATCCAAGATCATGGTAATCCTATCAGATGAACCTTATCAGCATTGCTAAGTTGACGTAGCTCATTCATTTTGTTTGGTAGACTCGCGGCGTTCATGCATAAGCAGTTTATGCTTCTTCCTGTTTGTCTGTATGAGCCTTGTGTGAATGGACAGGTATCCTACCTATATAGGGCTTGACGAGACGGCACGCCCTGCCTTTTGCACGTTTTTTTATTATCAAGTCAGTCCACAAGTGGGATGATCATATGGATTCCAGTTGGCAATCGACGTCTGTTGGCACGAAATGCTTCCAGAGTTGCAGCCGCCATATGGGGGGATGGGAAAGTTATCCTCATTAGTCGGAGTCTAGAATCACCGTCCTTCTTGGCTAGTCTCGTCAGATGTTGAGTCAGTATGTTTTTGAGCCTCAAGGACTGTTTGATGAATTTCCGTTGACTAATATCAGAGTTTGCTTGACTAGGGTCCTTGTTTTCCGATGCACCTTGCACAATAATATTTCTTCCGCGAAAAAACTTCCGAGATTCTTTAGGTATGTTCCGGGTGAAATTGCGCTCAGAATACGTTCCCATCGAATTTCAGTAAATGACTAGCCAGCAGGACATAATCTACGTCGGTAGCATTCTCAAGTGTTACACGAAGTAGCCTCAGGTGATTTTGATGCTTAGATTCTTTTCCCCAAGTGAGCTGTGTGACTGTCAAAGTCTCTGCTCTAGGAAGTTCAAGTTTCTTGTGTAAATTCACCCTAGAGCATCCTGTCATTTTTGTCCTGCAAACTGAGAGGAAGGTCAGGGTGCTGAGTTTTAACATGTCATCATTAGTACTAATGCATGGTCTATCAACAGCAGACCTTTCGATATCCTTATTCTTGTTTTCGTTGCGCGCCCTTGTTTGTCTACCCGTTTTATCACTGTCTTTTTCCAAGTTTACTAACAACTTATTCCACAGACCTTTCAATAGGACAACGACGTCACTCAGCCCTTCAGTGTTCAATGTCTTTGTGACAAGCCGGAGTAAATCAAACCAAAACCCAATATTCTTGTGACGAGATTTTATAAACCAAGTAACTCCTTGGCTCTCAATTTTTGTTTTTTCGGTAGCGTTACAGGATTTTTGGAGTGTTCACTGAGCGGTAGTCTAACCATCCGATTCCACTAATTATGGTTTAGTAGTTAATTGTTGGTATGTATATCTTTTAGTC